CGGCTGGGAGACGGGGCTGGGGTTCCCAGGCGTCCCTGGGTGCGGGGGGAAGCTCAGGACCCAGGCGTCCGGGGCCAGAGCGAGCACCAGGGAGGCGCTGGGAGAAACTGGGGAAGCAGTGGAGTTCGAGGGGTGGGGCAGGAAAGCCGGGTGTCCGGGGCTGGGGGGGGTCTTCAACTCGCAGTTAACCCCTTCCTCTGCGTTGCAGACCCGCCTCCCGGGGGTGGGCTGCAGGGTCGGACCCTAGACGGGGGGGAGAAGGGGAGGGGAGAGGCTCGGCACTGACCCCCTGTATCCCATCAGCCCCCGGAGAAGCGGCGCCGAACCATCGAGGACTTCAACAAGTTCTGCAGCTTCGTTTTGGCCTATGCCGGCTACATCCCCCCCGCCAAGGAGGTGAGCGGGGCGGGGCCCCAGTCATGGGAGTGGGGGGCAGGGGCCCCAGGCGTCTGGCGGGGAGGGGCAGGGGGTGTCTAAGAACCCAGGCGTCCCGGGCCAGGGGCGGGAGAGAGCAGCAGAGCTGCCTCACCACCTCTGCCTTTCCAAACTACACTACCCAGGGTGCCCTGTGGTCTGGGCCATTTTTTTCTTTTCCTTGGGTGGCACGGTCTTTATTTCCCCCCCCCTTGAGCATTGCATGCTGGGAGCTGGAGACTACACTTTCCGTCAGGCCTTGCTGTTATTGCCTTTTGGGGGCATTGTATTCTAGGGGTTGTAGTTTAAAGGGTTTCAGCTTCCCAGAATGCTTTGCTGTCTGGCTATTAACCTCAAGTGGGCGGAGTGGTCTGTGCCTCCTCCCCTATCCTAGAGCATTGCATGCTGGGGCCTGGAGGCCTCCCGAGGTTTTGCTTCCCAGAATGCTGTACCTTTCTGCTTCCCCCTCCCTTTGGCAGTATTGCATTCTGGGAGCTGTAGTTTGAAGCAGCCTCATGCTGGGACTACAGTTCCCCGAATGCCATGTGGTCCTGCCATTTTCTTGGGAAGGGTGTGAAGTGAGGGAAGGGAGGGGTGGGCTGTGCCTCCTGTAGCATTGCATTCTGGGAGCTGAAGTGTCAGTGGGTGGAATGGTGTGACTACACTTCCCAGAATGCTGTGCAGTCTGGCCATTTTGCCTAGGGGAGCCCTGGGAGAAGTAGTGTTCCTCCTCTTGTCCCCCCCCCTTTGGTTTTGCCTGGCACATTGCATTCTGGGAGTTGTGAAAATGGGGGGGCAGTTGCTAGGCCTACATCTACCAGAAGGCTCTGGTGCGGAGCAGGGCATGCTGGGAAATGTAGTATGTCCCCCCCCCCCCCAGCCTGCAAAGCCCCTTCCTGCCTGTGGTCTCATATGGGGGGGGGGTGTATTCCCCTGCCCTTACCATCTCTGCCTTCCCATCAGGCCTTGGGAGGAGGTGGGGGATAGACCAGGCCGCTAGCCCCATAATGCAATGAAATATTCCCTGCCCTAATGCATATTGGGAGTTTGCCCAAGTGGTTTCACTGACTGTTTATCCCACTGCATGTTGAGAGAAACCTCCTGAATCCTGTGGCATTCTTGGTAAAAGGTTGTATGCCCCATGGCATGCTTGGGGGAAGCCCTTCTCATGGGCCCTGAGCCCCATGGCATGCTGGGGAAACCTTTCTCATGATCCTTATTTTATGGTGGGTGTAAAGCAGGGTTGGGCAATTATTTCAGGCAGAGGGCCGCTTTCTGAGTTTTGGCAAGCCATCAAGGGCCGCATGACAGGCAGCCAGGGGCAGATTAATAATAATTTTCTAAATTTTTTTAGGGGCCCTGCAGGCTGGATAGAATGGCCTGGCGGGCCGTATCCAGCCTGCGGGCCGCATTTTGCCTGCCTCTGGTGTAAAGGGTTGTAGGCCCCATGGTGTTCTGGGTAAACCCTTCTCATGGGCCCCAAGCCCCACAGCATGCTGGGAGAACAGCCACCCACTCTCACCCCCCCTCCCCTCTCCCATGACAGGAGAATGAGTGGCCAGCGTCGGGCTCGAACTCGCCACTGCGGCCCGAGAGCACGGCAGACAGCGACGGCTGGGAGTCGGCCCACTCGGACCTGCACACCATCGAGACCTTCGTCAAGAAGGCCAAGTCGTCCAAGAAGAAGGCCTTCCGGCGCCTCAAGTCCGACAGCTCCCTGCTGGAGAAGATGAAACTCAAGGACTCTCTCTTTGACATGGAGCCACCGGGCACCAAGACTCCACTGGGGCCCACCGCCAAAGGGACAGCAGGTGGTGGCAACATGGCGGCCAGCGCCCACATGGCCGACAAGAAGAAGGACAAGCGGAGCCGGCGGGCGGGGGCGGGCACCGAGGGCCCCAAGCGGGGCCGGGGGGACCCGGCAGGGGAAAAACGGGCCCGCATTAAAAAGAGCAAGAAGCGGAAGTTGAAAAAGGCAGAGAAGAAGGCCAAGGCCTCCCTCAGCGACACGGACTCGGAGGAGGACGAGGATGAGGAGGATGAGGATGAGGAGGCGGTGGCCATGGCAGGGGCCCCTGAGGCAGGAGTGGGGCCTCCAGGGGGCCGGGGCGGGGCAGGCTCCCCTGCCAAGCTGGGGGGTGCTGGGGAGGGCAAAGAGTGCGCCAGCACCGAGACAAGCCAGGACGGCGACGCCAGCTCCAGCGAGGGCGAGCTGCGGGTCATGGATGAGGACATCATGGTGGAGTCAGGTGAGGGGGGGGCACTTTGGCCCATGTAGCGAGAACTGGGGCTTGGCTGTGCTCCCAGCATTCAATGGGGCTGGGCTGTGGGGCACTGAGGGGAGATGGTGGCCATTTTGTCCCATGTGGGGTGGACCGGGGCTTGTCTGCTCTCCTCGCTTTCAGTGGAGCACTCAGGGGAGACGGTGGCCAATTTGTCCTCTGGGGAGGCCCAGGCTTTGGCTGCTCTCCCAGCATTCATTGGGGCTGGGCTGTGGTGGAGGCAGTGGCCCTTTTGTCCCATGTAGAGAGGACCGTGCCTTAGCCATGCTCCCAGCATTCAATCGGGCTGTGCTGGGCTGTGCTGTCATGTCATGCACTCAAGGGAAATGGCAGCCATTCTGTCCCTTGTGGGGAGGACTGGTTTGGCTGTTCTAGCATTCAGTGGGGCTAGGTTTTGGTGGACTTGGGGGAGATGGTGGCCATTTTGTTCCCTGTCAGAAGGCTGGCGCTTGGCCGTTCTCCCAGCATTCAATGGGGCTGGGAGGTGGTGGCCATTTCATCGTGTTTGAGGCTTGGCCACTCCCAGAATGCAGTGGGGCTGGGCTAAGGCCTCACCCTTCTACCTCCCAGACCAAGGGGAGATGACAACAGCCATTTTGTTAAGTGTGGGATAAGCTGCACTCCCAGCAAGCAGTGGGACAGGTGGCCTCAGGGGAGGTGGCAGCCATCTTGTGTGTGGAGATGATCAGACTTTGGCTCCTCCCAGCATGCAGTGGGGTTGGGTGTCAAACTACCTTGGAGGGCCAGGCTGTGGCTGCTTTCCCAGCATGCTATGGGCTTTTGGTGAGGTGAAAATGAGCCAGTTAATTGTGTGATCAGTCATTGCTCCTTTTGCGATGAATTAATTAATTGTGCATTATATGACACATGTAGCTGGGGCTTCTGAGGCTTCTTGTATCCAAGCTGATCTTTAGTTCAGGAAGGGTTCACTGGGGTGACACTTAGCCTGGGATAATTTAGCCCTAATTTGGGGGTGGGGAAAAGCTAATTCTCCAATTCATTATGTTCATTATACCCCACACTTCACGGGGATGGGGGATGTGACAGCCCAGACAGGCAGTGAAGCCAGGTGACCTGGCTTCCTCTTTCACTTCATGTCTCTGTTGCTCCCACCCTGGGATAGGGGCCAGATCCTGCCATCCCCCACTTCATTGCGGGGCGGGGGGTGTAAATTAAAGGGTAAGTAGCAGCTCTTAAGTGTTCTGTGGGCCTCTCCCACCCCCGGTCTGGAGATCTCCTCCACACTTGTCCAGGGATAATAAGTGCTGTGTGTCTGTGCTTTGCCCTTTTGCCCCTTGTTAATCCAGGAGTAAAAAGGCAGGGGGGACCAGGGATTGTGAACCCAGGCGTTGGGTGTGGGGGTCGAAGGGGGGGCTAGGGATCGGAGATTATGACCTCCCGGCCTCCTGAATTGGGGTGATCATGGATGCATTGGTGGGGACAGGGGTCAGATAATTGTGGGGGGGGTCCTCTTTCACCCAGGCTAAGTGTGGTGGGGGGCAATCTGGGTGGGGTGATGGTAGGGGTCCCACTGGATTGGGAGTGTTGCATTCTGGGAGTTGTCCTTTAATGGGCCTGTAGCTGGGCCTTGGGTCCTCCCGGAATGCTTTGCCATCTGACCATGTTGCCTCAATGGAGGAGAGGAGGGCGTGTCAAGTAATCCCTCCCATCCCATTGAGCATTGCATGCTGGGAGGTATAGGCTTCCGGAGGTTTTGTATCCCAGAATGCTGTGCCTTTGCCTCAGGGAGTGGGGCAATGCCCCCTTCCTCCCTTGGGAGCATTGTATTTTGGGAGCTGTAGTTAGCTGTACTTCCCACAATACCATGCAGTCTGGCCATTTTGTAGGAGGAGGGTGACTGATGGGGGGGTACATCTGGGGGTTGGATTTAAAGTGAGGGGTCAAACCTCGACATGGGGCTCAGCAGTCCGGGGTGAAGCTGGTAGGGGGGGCAGGCTAGGATTTGGGCAGCAGGGTCTGTGGGTGCCAGATTGGAGCTGGCGGGTGATGGGTAATATGTGAAGGGGCAGACTAAAACAAGGGGTCATGAATGATGTTGCAAGCTTGCGATGGGTGACACTTGGAGGCCGGGGCTTAGCTCGCGGGTGATGGGTACCTGGTACTGACTGCCCCCCGATTTGTTTTTTTTCTCCCCCACTCCCAGGTGACGACTCATGGGACCTGATCACGTGCTACTGTCAGAAGCCCTTTGCCGGGAGGCCCATGATCGAGTGTAGCTGCTGTGCCACCTGGATCCACCTCTCCTGCGCCAAGATCAAGAAGACCAACGTCCCGGACATCTTCTTCTGCCAGAAGTGCAAAGAGGGTGCCCGCAAGCCCCCCCCCCAGCCCCCCCGGGGCAGTGCTGAGGCCTAGGGGACGACCCCCCCATCACCTCAACTGCCCTGGACTCCTTCCCCACCGCCCCAGGCCAGAGATTGGGGGTCTGCTCCCCTGCAGCACAGAGGTGTGGAGGATTGACACCCCCCCCCCCCCCAACATGGACAGCCCTGGGGGGGGTGGATTTGATACCGCTGCTTTTCTCCCTTGGAAGTTGGGGGGGCTTTTGATACCCCCCAATGTGTAAAGTCGGGTTGTAAATACAAAAAGGGGGTTGTTGTTTTTTCATGTGTGTTTCCTTTTTAATTCCCCCCCCCCCCCAAATTTTGGTTTTAATACCCCCAGATTTTGTGGGGGAGGCACACCTTTAGGAGGCTGTTGGAAGGTGGGGCTGGAATATTCTCTAGCACCCCACCCAGCAGGGTGCTGAGAAGGGAGGTGCTGTCTCCAGGAGGGGGGGAATGTCTCCTTTCTGGAAGCCACCTCTCCAGCACCCCATAGTGGGGAGCCCGGTTTGCCCCAATGCAGCCCCACCAGCCTTCGGTTCCATGTTTTCGGGTGGGGTGGGGGGGTTGTCCTCCCCAGGTTGTTTTGTTTGTTTTGTTTTTTTCCCTTGGTTCCTTTGTTTTAATAATAATATTTTGCAGCAACGCGTTCGGGACATGGCCTTGAATGTAAATAAATGATGTGGCCCCTTTTGGCGTTTGTACAGGGGAATGGCCGGCTCCCTCTGTTCTGTGGCTGGATTGTGGTGGGGGGGGCAGGGGATGGTCTGGGGGCCCTTATTGGGGCTGGATCCAGCAGCTGGGGGGAGGCTTCTGGCAGCCCCTAGGGTAGCAAGGGGAGGAGATCTCGCTCCTCAACCTGCTACCCCCCCCCACTTGCCTACCTTTATTACCCCTACACCTCTCCTTTGGCCTGAGCACACTGTATAACGTCACCACCCACGTGGCCTGGCCAGGAGTAGGGCTGGGAGTCCCCCTTCTATGCGCATCCGGTTTCTTGTCTTGCCACTGCTATTTGTGCGTATGACTCGCCCGCGCATGCGCTTCTTGTCCTCCCGTGGTTCCCCCCCCCCCTCCTTACGCATGCGTCTCGTTCCTTTCCCACTCTCCACCGGTCCACATGCGCGCTCGCCCCGGCTCTTGCATTCACCTGCGCATGCGTCCCTTGTCTTCCCTGTGTCCGTTTCCTATGCATGCACCTCCCTCCCTTTCCAGCCGCCTTCGTCGTCCTTGTGCGCATGCGTCCTTCTCGCCCTTGTATTCCCCTCCGCGCATGCGTCTCCTGGCTCGCCCTTTGCCATTCTCCTGCGCACGCGCTGCCTCGTCACGTGATGTGAGGGAGGCAACGTCGTGACGCAAGCCCCTTTGCGCGCGCCGGAGAGCGGGAGGCGGATTCGGTCGTGTCCGCCGATCCCCCCCCCCGCCCGCGGAGCAGGTGGTAGCACCCGCCCGGGCAGCGGGGCGGTGTCCGGGTGGGACCATGGCGGCGGCGGCGGGGGGGCTGGGTGAGACCAAGGTAATCTACCACCTGGACGAGGAGGAGACGCCCTACCTGGTGAAGATCGCCGTGCCCGCCGAGCGCATCACGCTGGGCCACGTTAAGGCCGCGCTCAACCGGCCTGGGGCCAAGTACTTCTTCAAGAGCATGGACCAGGACTTCGGGTACGGCCGGGACCCCCCACACACACACTGGGGACCCGCGAGTCCGGGAGCCACCTCCCCTCCCGCCTGTGCCCCTCCCCCAACAGGGGACCCGCGAGTTCGGGAGCCCCACCTCTCAGCACCCAGATATCCAAGCCCCTTCCCCCCAGCTGAGAGCACCCAGGTGTTGGCACCATCTGCAATGTTGCCATGCATATATGATATGATATAAAGTGTTTATGTATTGATATAAACACTTTATATGTTAATATAAAGGAGAAAATATATATAAGCATTATAAATTACATTGTGTGTGTGTGTGTGTGTATGTATATATACTGTATATACATACACACACACATACATGAATGATACAATATGATATAATATAATTTGTTGTATCAAATTGAAGATAATTGGCTGTACTCTAAACTGCTATATGTGGAGTGCTGCCATGTTCCAGGTATTACATTGTAGTGCTCCAATACCTGGAGGATTGGGAAAGGCTCTTCGGTGCTGCTAGTGTAAGGATTAGACTGTATTTTCAGTTGATGTGATGTGTGCACATGTACATCTAGAAACATATAGGTGCATGCCTGTGTACACATGCACACGTATCCGTGCGCTTTGGGTGATCCGACCCTATAGCACAGACCTGGTGTATACCTCTACATCTGTACAGGTTGAGTGGTGCTGTCTAGGTGGCTATAGGTCTAGAGGTACTCTGTAGGTGCAGAGCTGTTATGTAGGTCTATAGAGCCCTACACTGTATATAGTCCCCCACAACAGCTGTAGATCTTTATGGATCTATAGGTAGACTTACACTGTGTATGTAGATCTTCATGGGTCTACAGCTGTTGTGTAGCTCTACACAGATCTAGGGCTCTACAAATACCAATGTCTTGTACATAGTTGTGTACGTCAAGTTCTAGATCTATTATAGGACCAGATTTTAATCTGCTTCTGTAATACCAGCACGTAAAGTTACAGCACCAGCCACAGAGCAGGGGATGGAAGAGCAGGGTTTTTTTGCCTGCACTGTAATATTAGACTCCCATCGCCACATTGGGCTTGTAACGCAGCAAGAACAGCATGAAATGATGCCGTGAGATGAGCAGCTGAATGACATCATCATCATCATCATCATAAATGTATTCATTGAGCTGTCATGTTATTCAGCTATTGCGGTGCAGCAGTTGAGTGGTCATACAGCTGTGGCCCAACCCCCACTGAGAAGAGCCCAGTGCAACTCCAGCCCCCCCTCCCTGCCCCACACAGATCCAGAGGGCACATGCGCCCCCCCCCATGCACTCCTGGGGTACGTGCAGCAGCAGGAGCTGCCGCACGCCCCCCCCAGATGAACTGCGGATCCCTCAGATGCTTGCCCCACCCTGGCTGGACAGCATCTGCCCCAGCCCCGATCCTCCCGTACTGGGGGGGGGGAACGTTGATCTGCCCCCCAGCCCTGCTCCTTGGAGGCGGTGGCAGCATGGGGGTGGGGGGAGGGTTAGGCTTAGCAAACTCCCCCCCTCCCCTTCTCTGTTCTGTCATTCTTGATGGGCAGTTCACTAGTATGTAATATTATCGTGCATTATAACATAAGAATACACAATAATCATGATAAAATAATAACGTGATACAATATGATATTACTAACATATGTACAGTATGGCAGCGCTGGTGCTAATATAGAGTTACCAGCCAATTGCCCGTCAAGAATGACCTGGGTTGGGGAGCTAGGTTGGGATGCCTCCACCTAATGCCCTGTGCTGCCGCTGTTCAGCCTCTTGCAGGGCGCGCAGCAGGATCTGAGGCCAGCAGCTCCCTGCCCTCTGTCCGGTCCTCTGCATGGCTTCGAAATCATGATGGTGCTCCTCCACGCTTGGAGCGCTCTGATTGGCTGTTTCTGTCAGCCAGAGCATGAATAAAGTGTTATGGACAGACAGACCGACGGACAGACTTAGACTCTTATAATAGTAGAATTGCCTTAGATTTATGTAATGCCATAATATTAGCCTCAGAATTAATAGCATGACAATGTGAAGACTCCACTATCATGTGACAAGCTGGTGTCTTAATAGAGAGGACTCAAGGTGTTATAATACTAGAACTAGCATATTTTAGTGTGCGGGTTCTGATTGCACGGTGCAAATGTGGCGTGGCCTGATGCTGTGTTGTGGAGCCTAGCATACACTGCAATCCCCAATAGCCTGCGCTGTCTCTGTTCCACCCCAGAGCTGGCTGCATTTTGGTGCTGGGCAATGGGTCCCCGTTACACCCGCTGCTCCCACCCTAGAGCTGGCTGCATCCTGGCAGCAAATGAGGGGTCCCCGTTCTTTGGGGTCACTTCCCATCCCAGAAGTGGCTGCTCCTGGGCAAGGGTCCTTGGGGTGCTCTGATCGTTTGCTGTGTTTCTTGCCATAGGGTTGTCAAGGAGGAGATCTCGGATGACAACGCCAGGCTGCCCTGCTTCAACGGGAGGGTCGTTTCTTGGGTACAGCATGGGTCAAGCAGGTCACAGGGACCCCGGGCCCTCTCTGCACCCCCCACTTCGCCCAATGGACCTGTCCATCTCTGCATTTCCCCTCCTTCACACAATGGACCTGTTCATCTCCACATTTTCCCTGATTCACACCCATAGACTTGTCCAAATTTGTCCCCTCCCTCCCCTTTATACAGTGGACCTGTCTATCTCCCCCTCCCCACACCAATGGACCTATTCTCTCTGTATTTCCCCCCATTCACACCCATAGATGTGCCCAAATCTGCACCCCCCTGACCTTTCACACCAATGGATCTGTCCATTTCTCCCTACCCACACAAATGAACCTATCTATCTCTGCACCTCCTGTTCATAGCAATGGACCTGTCTAGCTCTGCCTTCTCCCCCGTTCACAGAATGGACCTGTCCATTTCTGCACATGCCCCCCCATACCAATGGACCTGTCCATCACTGAGCCTCCCCCCCATTCACAGTAATGGACCTGTCCATCTCTGAATTTCCCCCCATTCACACAATGGACCCTTCTACCTCTGCACTCCCCCCCCCCACACCAATGGACATGTCCATTTCCCCCCTGCACACACCAATGGACTTGTCCATCTCTGCACCGCCCCCTCTCCCTTAGCTTCATACCAGTGGAGCCTACCTGTCTCCTCTGGACACCAGTGGATCTGCCCATCTCTGCCCCCCACCCTGCTTTACGCCAATGGGTCTGTCCAACCTTATATACCACCTACAAACAGGATCAGACTTTCAGGCATGGGGGAATGATTCTTTTTGGGGAGAGGGCAGAATGGTTTGGTCCTGGGTGCTCACATGTTGTACCCCCCCTACAGCTGGTGTCGTCGGAGACACCCCAGGCCGAGCCGGCGCCAGTGCCTGCAGAGCCACGGCCAGACCCGTCCCCACCACCGCCCCCCCTGCCCCCTCTGCCAGTGGAACGGACCAGTGGCATCGGGGACTCCCGGCCCCCCTCTTTCCAGTAAGTGGGAGATGGGAATGGAAGAATCCAAATGGGGGGAGTGGAAAGTTGGAAGGGTCTATTTGTCATGTGGGGGGGGAGGAGCTCAGTGGAAGAGCCCAATTGCAGTAATGGGGGTATAGGGCTGGGTGGAAGAGTGCAGGAATGATGGTGGGGTAGGGGAATGAATGGGAGAGTCCATTTGCAACAATTGGGGAGTGTTTGGAAGGTCCACCTGCCAAGAATGGGGGGAGGGGTTCAATAGAAAAGTCCATTTGCAGTAATGGGGGGTTGAATGCAAGGGTCCATCTATCAGAATTGCCCGGGGCAGGGGGAGCTGAAAGGTCTACCTGCTAGGAATGCAGGGAAAAAGTGTTCATTAGAAGGATCCATTGCAATAAAAGATGGGGGAATGAATGGAAGGGTCCATCTGCTAGAATGCGAGGGATGAATGGAACGGTCCAGTCCGCCAGTTCGTAGGGGGTGCAGTTGACTGGGTGGAAGGATCCACATGCCATTATGGGGGGGTTCATTTGGGGCACCCCTCAGCCTCAGGATGGAACAGTCCATTTTCCCACAATAAGGAGGGGGGGGGAGCAAAACCTCTGGACTTTGGGACATGAAAGGGTCCATTGGTCAGAAGGGAGGGGCAGGTTCTCAGCAAGAGGACCTGGTGGAAGCTTCCATTCCCCACTAAAAGGGGAGGGAGGCCTGTAAGGTACCGTCCTCTTGAGTAGCAGGGAGGGGAGCTGGATTGGAAGAGTCTATTGTTGGCCACTTGCGGGGGGGGGGTGGAAGTGACCATCCAGTATTGAAATGGGTTGTGGGGTGTGGGGTTCTCCCCACAATAACCCCACCGAATCCCCCCCAGCCCCAATGTGTCTTGTAGCCGGGAGAACCTGGACCACGAGACGGAGACAGAGTCGGTGGTCTCCCTGCGGCGGGACCGGCCACGGCGCCGGGAGAGCACGGAGCATGGGGGTGAGCCGGCGCCTAGATGCCAGGGTCTTTCCAGCTCTGGGGTTGAGGTGGGCTGGACTCCTGGGTCCCCGGGCAGGTGGCTGAGTGGTGCCCCCACAGCAGGCGGGCACCGGCTGAATGGGCAGTCACGGCTGGAGCGGCACCTGGCTGGGTACGAGAGCTCCTCCACCCTCCTAACCAGCGAGATTGAGACCACCAGCCTCTGCGACTCAGACGATGATGCCATGAGCAGGTGCGGGGGTGGGGCCCAGATGTCTGAGTTCTTTGGCCTGGCTTCTCTGGGTGGGGAGCAGGGTCTGGTGGTTGGGGGTGGTCTGGGAGTCTGGACACCTGGGTTCTCTGGGAAGGGAGAGGGGTTGGGGGGCTGGGAGCTGGGACGCCTGGGTTTTCTGGGACGGGAGTGGGGTCTAGTGGTTAGAGTGGGAGGGGCTGGGGGCTGGACGCCTGGGTTCTCTGCAGCTCTGGATGGGGAATCAGGTCTAAGGGGTTAGAAGTGGGGGGTCTGCTGGCCTGGATCCTCTCTGTGCCCTGGTGGGTTTGAGCATGGTGCAGGGGGCTCCAGTTACTCGCACACTTGGGTTCCCCCCCCTCACCAACC